CTCCGATTCAGTCGTCGCCTGCGCTTGCTCCCGCCGCGTCGGCGCCCGTTCCTGGTTCTCGTCTGCAACTGCCGCCGCTTCCACCCGTTGCTGGCGTGGAGTTTGTGGCCGCGGGCGGAGGCTCGCTATCGGCTCCGTTTGCTCTCCTCGCCGGCGCTGATGAGCCGCTTCAGTTCCTGGCGGAGGCACTGCAGCCTCCGCAGACCCGTGTTCCCGAGGCGACTCTTGGACAGCTGCACCGCCTCGCTGACAGCCTCCATGCTCTGCTGCTGATTCAGGTGCTGGCTCATTCGTCGCTTCCGGTGATTCCTCCTGAGACCTTCCTTTCTCGCCAGCGTGACCCTTGCTTGGACGCGGCAGACCAGCTCGCAGTGCTGCTGGCGCCCGTGCTGGCTGCGCCCGCGGAGGGAGGCGCTGCTGCTGCGGGACAGCTCGACGAAGCTGTCCGGGGCCTGAGGCGGCACTTGCGCGCTGGATCTGGAGCCGCGGCGATCGGCGCAAGCACGCTTGTGGTCCGGGAGCTGTGGCGCTCCCTGACGGGCGTTCTTCACGCCCTTGGAGCTCACCGCATGTAGATGCGGGCTCCGCTTCTACTTGTGTCGCCATTGCTGCTTAGGATGTTGTTGATGCCGCCATTGTTTGTATGCCGTTTGCTTAACCTCGGTTGTGTTCGTGTTCCTTGCCGTCCCCTCACGCGCGGCCGAAGGCCGCGCTGTCGATTGTCGGCCGCCGAAGGCGGCCGACGCGAGCCGCTGGGTTAGAAGGAATGAACCCACGAAATGAATAATGAGACAAGCACCAGGCCCACGGCCTTATATAGCGGAGCTAGGGGCGGCTGAGAGGCTGAGAGGCTAAGGGACTAGGGGTCTATGCCTCTCTCTCTCTCTCTCTCTCTCTCTCTCTCTCTCTCTCTCTCTCTCTCTCTCTCTCTCTCTCTCTCTCTCTCTCTCAAGCAGTCATGTATTGATATGGGTCACAAGGTACAGGCATGGCAAGTGGTGGTAACTAGCTCGACTAAGCATGGAAGCAATAAGGAAACCAGAACTAACCAGCAAACAGAGCAAACCCCTTCAGCCAATGCACACAAAAAACCTGGCTCTCATAGCATCCTGGTTCATGGCAGCACAAGTATCTGAGGACCCCACATTCCACCTGTCCCTTGTTATTCCCATACCATAGGGCCTCCCCTTATCCTTCTTCACCCCGCAGCTTCCTCGCACTTTCCCTGAGACGCCCTCCATCTCCCTGGCCCACCTGGAAACTCCCAGACTCAGTATTCCTCTTCCTGACCCTCATCACGCCCCTTTATCCCTCCCCTACCGCTACCCAGCCTCCCCTTGTCACCGAGATTCCTCCTCCCCAGCCCCCTAAGCCGCTCTAGCGGGAGCCTGGCGCTCCTCATACTCGTCCATCTGCATCTGCCAGAGGTCTCCTAGCCGGGGTGCCCCAGGGTCCGCTACAGCCTGAGGGAATGCCGCTTCCGCTGCCCGGTTAGACTTGGAGAGGCGGGATGTCGCCTGGCTGCGTTGGAGCATCACCGACCACCGCTGCCTGTAGTGTGCGTTGATGCGGGCAGCGGTGGTGGTGAGGCGCCCCTGGCGGTACTTCTTTGCCGCGTAGGTAGCCAACATACGGAGGAACTATTGAGTGTCAGTGGCCAGCACCCCGTAGGTCTCAACCGCCAGGCCGAAGAAACCAACATAGCCAGGACGCCCCTCGTAGAGCCTGTGCTTGGCCTGCGACGCCTCCTCAGCTGCCCACCCCGGTGGCTTCCGTGCCCTCACATCCCTCCTCTGAAGGACCGGGTCCTTCACAGTCACGTCCGTGGCCCAAGTCTCTCCCGACTCTTGGTCCCTGACGGCTAGGTCGGCTCGCTTGTTCTGGACAGGGGGAGAGAACGCAGTCGTCTCGTGAAAGGTCTTGTACCCGGCTTCCTGCGCCATGCGGAGAGCAGCGAAGGCCAGAGCGTTGTGGGTGCGCATAGCATCCCCCCCATCTGCACACCGTAGTAAGTGGTTCGGCAAGCTCTTGTCAGCTATCGTGGAGTTGGATCTCTTGCAGGGGCAGACCTCCACCACTGGTAGTTCCATGCCCAGGCGCAGGCCTAGTGCCATGGAGAACTGACCAGGGGAAATTGAGAGGTCAGCCCTGGTTGGCACAGCATGTAGCCAGTCACCCGCTCCTACTCCTTTCAGGCTGATGAGCCGAATGGCATGGCCCCGGTCCGCCCCCGGCCTATCAGTCACCGTATCCGCCAGCAGCTCTTCAGCCCACGTGTGGTTGATGGCCTTGGATAGCCCCAGCTGCAGATTGCCCACACCCTTGGGGTTCTCCCTATAGCTGCGTAGGACCGCCGCAGCTTGTGCTGGGAGCCTCGCCTCGCCTCGAGCGGTGACAGCAGGTTGACCCGGGGGGGAGGTGGGGCCCATGACCGGGAGAGGAGGTCCCCTGCCCTGTGAAGAAGGTAATAAGGCGGCAGGTTCAGCTGCTGCAGTAGAAGGTGCGCCGCTGCAGTTGAGGCTAGGTATGCTGCTGGGGCTTCGGAGACGGGGTCAATGATTCCCAGGCCTCCTAGCCACACCGGGAGCGTTGCCTGGCGCCATAGTAAACTCTTCTCTAGCTCGCTCGGCGGGATCTGAAGCTTCGAAGCCGCGAGCCCTGCTCCCACCAAAGCCTCGCTCCACTCCCGCCATTCCGTACGGGCCAGCGCATCTGTTGGTGTTGTGCGAAGTAAAAACGAGATGCGGCGGGAGATGCTCCGGGATAGCATGAGTAGTGCGTGCTGCAGGTTGAGTTGGGCGACGAGATGTAGCGGCGCAGCCGCCTCCGCAAGCGTCGCCCGGACCTGGCCGGTGCAGAAGGCGTCGCTGCCGACCGGGCTGCCCAACACCTTCAAACCGCCTGGGTGGATAGGGAGACCGTGTGGCAGGCCATCTCCCCCTTCCTCCCGTACCGCACACCATGCTGCCGACTTGGTAAGGTTGCACCGTAACCCACATGAAGCCAACTCCGTGACGACCGTGTTGAATGCCAAGCACGCTGCCTCACGAGGCCCGACGATGGTGATGTCGTCAGCATAAGCCACTATTGCCACCTCTGGTACGCTCGTGGCCACGCTGAAAAGTATTGGCTGGATCGCCGCCGCAAAAAGGAGAGGCCCCAGCGGATCTCCTTGGCGGACACCCCTGGAGCTCTGAATGTGCTGCACTTCCAAACGAGGGTCGACTAAAAGCCGCGAGGGGCCATCATAGAGGTTTCGGACGAGCGGGAGCAGCGGGTTGAGAGTAGACCACTGGAGGGCGGAGAAGAATGACGCGCGCTCTACAATGTTAAAGGCGTTCTCAACGTCCAGCTGTAGATCTATGCGGGTATCGTCGTCTCCAAGGAGGGAGCGAACCGTGTGGATGATACACTCCGCACCTCCTGGGACCGCTACGCCAAACTGGATGGGAAGAAAAAACTCCCTGATTTTTGGGCCTAAACTGTGTAGCACCGCCTTAGCCACCACTCGGAGTAACGCCTCGCCTATTGCGATCGGTCTAACTCCTCCCCCTGGCTTCTCTAATGCTATGAGCCGAGAAGGTAGTAGAAGGGCGCGAACCGGTTGGCTCTGGAAAGTGCTGGCAAGGCGATTTACCACATTCGCCAGCAGCAGTAGGATCTCTTCATTCGCCAAGGCTGGGTCTCGTAGATGTTCAAAACAGCAGCTTGAGGGCCCCGCTCCTACCCCATTCGGGCATTTTGCGAGGTTTTCGTGTAGAGTTTTAAGTGGAATACTGAGCTCGGAGCTAGTTATCCTAGTAACCCAGACTGTTGCTGGAGTGCTCGATGACGGGTGTTTTGCTCGCAGGGCGGATAGCGTCGCAGGGTTGGGTTTGGCGAAGGGGCTCGTACGTAACGCCGCAACTGCCTTCGAAATGTTACCTTTTTTAACCAAACCCTCCGCTCTCGCACAAACCCCCTCGTCATCATCTTGGTGCCTTAGCGGAGCACCCGTGTCGGGGATGGTGCAAGCAGCCTCGAACAAACCATCCCAATCTCCCAGCTAGAAATGGTGCAGCCGAGCCTCGATTTCTGCCCAACGACTGCCAGCAACTGGCTCTGGTGGCGGGCGCAGTGTCAGCCTCGGGAGGTACAGTAGGATCGCCCATGCACATGGGCATTCTGGGTTTGTTGACAGCCGCAGGAGAGGTGCGAGGAGACACAGGCAGAATTTGTCCAACACTTGAGGTGGCAGTCGTCTGACTAGGAAGGGCTGGTCCATCCGTTGAAGGAGATCCAGAGTCCACATTTCTGCCGCCTGCCAAATGGCGTCATCCTCTGCCAGGATGGCCGGCGATTTTACTTTGTTGGTGACCGTGGCAGCTGGTACAGGCACTCCTTCAGCATGGGATGTCACTCCGTCCACTCCCTCTCCCGCTCCCCTCACTCGATTCCTGCCTCTTCCCACTTCCTCCTCATTATCCAGAGAAATCTCTTCGGACTCTGGGCCCGCCTCCTCTCCACACATAATCTCAGGATCCCCAGTGTCCTCGGCAGAACGAGCTTCCTCCCTATTGGCTGCAGCCTCCAAAACCTCTGGGCGGTCGTGACGCTCCCGCCAAGGGCCCGTTCGTGCTTGGATCTCGGCTCCCCCCAGGCGAGCGACACCCCCCCCGCCGTCCCCCTCGCCTCCCGCGGCCCATACCGCGGAAACCCCGGCCTGCCGCCGGCACTGGCCGAGCTGTCGCTTCCAGTCCCGCTCTCCCCACCGGCATCCACGGGGTACGGCCTCCCCTTGGTGGACCCCACGTGACAGTTCCCAACCGAGCCGAGCGACGAGTGGCGACGGCTTCTTCAACTGGAGCGACTGGGCCTAGCGGTGAGTGGCTGTGTGTTCCGTTGTCCTGGTTTGCAGCCAGCTGCTCTGCATGGCGGGTTGCCGCCGTCTCTGTTGCCGCCTCGTTGAGTCCAGAAACCCCTCGTGCCTCTTGCGTGCGCGCAGATGACGACCGATGTGCTCACTCTGATGGCGGTTGCCCTTGCAGAAGCCAGCCTCGGAGGGGTCCCGGGGAGCCAGGTCCCAGCCCTGCTCCGGGCCGTCTCGGCGCTGGCTGGGCCCGTAGCTTCTTCTTCAACTTTGACCGTGCAGCGCCGGAGGAATCGCCGTTCGCGGGTCCTGGAAACTCTCCCACCGCCTGGCCGTGCTCCTGCCTGCTTGCGGCCGCGGCAGCAGCAGGCATTCCGGCGCACGCACCGGCAGTCATCGCGCCTTCTGCCATCGGGGCGTCACCCTGCTCCCCAGTCGTAGCAGACACCACCGGTGTCACCGGTGTCGGGGACGCGGACAGCGCAACCTCCGCGGTCTGTTCCGGATCCGCGCCCAACCTCGTCCCCTCAGCCTCAACCTGTGCAACCCGTGGGGTGGCAGAGGGTGAAACTGAGTCGGCGTCAAAGACAGCGGCAGAAACGCCAGCAGACACCTGGACTGCAGCCCTTTCCGCTGCAGGCACAACAGCATCAACAGCCACAGACTTCCCCGCCGCAGCCATTCTGGGTAGCACAGCAGCGGCCTGCCCAATCTCCGCTTCGTCAATTTCCTTTGCCCCTCTGTCCGCAGCACCCATGGGGGCCGATAACACCTCCCGCCCCGCCTCCTCCTCCTGCCGTGGTTCCTGGTGAGCCTCCAACTCTCGTCGAGCAGCGCGTGATGCACGCGGGGACTTGCTTGACGCTCCTGTCGTATGTGCTCGACCAGCTTCACGTGACCCTGCTGCAGTAGGGAGTGCAGATCGAGGCGATGCAGCCAGCGGCGCAGTCGGCGGCGGTATCGGCAGCAGAGGAGTTGCAGCATTACCTCCCCCTGATTTGCTTTGTGCCGGGCTCCCCTGGGGCTGCCCTCGGGCCTGGTCCTGGAGCTTTGGCGCGGCTTGCCGAGTCTGCCCAAGACGACCCGCTCGACCTTGTAGCCGCAGTCGCGTCTGTCCTACGGTGGTTGGACGGGTGGCTTTGTTGGATCTTGGTCGAGTAGCAGGCGCCTTCCCCTTGCCAGCCTCCCGTGTGGCAGGTCTGGCTTTGGGCTTCCCCATGGCGGAGTAGGCACGCCCGGGGGTGTTGCTGTTGTTGTTGAACGCTAACCCTGCATGTTGTAACACTTGCAGTTATAGTCCTTGTCGTCCCCTTTCCTTGCCTCCCCTCTTGCGCGGCCGAAGGCCGTGCTGTTGAGCGGCGGCCGCCGAAGGCGGCCGGCGCGAGCCGCTGGATTCTGAAGAGTGAAAGGAACCCAACAGAAAACAATGACATGAACAAGGGCTCCTAGGCCTTATATACTAGGGAAGAGAGGCTAGGAGAGGCTAAGGGAGGCTAAAAACTGGTCCCTAGTGCCTCTCTCTCTCTCTCTCTCTCTCTCTCTCTCTCTCTCTCTCTCTCTCTCTCTCTCTCTCTCTCTCACTCGATCTCTCTCAATAGCCGCTGGATTCTGAAGAGTGAAAGGAACCCAACAGAAAACAATGACAGGAACAAGGGCTCCTAGGCCTTATATACTAGGGAAGAGAGGCTAGGAGAGGCTAAGGGAGGCTAGGGACTGGTCCCTAGTGCCTCTCTCTCTCTCTCTCTCTCACTCGATCTCTCTCCATAGCCGCTAGATTCTGAAGAGTGAAAGGAACCCAACAGAAGACAATGACAGGAACAAGGGCTCCTAGGCCTTATATACTAGGGAAGAGAGGCTAAGGGAGGCTAAGGATTGGTCCCTAGTGCCTCTCTCTCTCTCTCACTCGATCTCTCTCCATAGCCGCTGGATTCTGAAGAGTGAAAGGAACTCAACAGAAAACAATGACACGAACAAGGGCTCCTAGGCCTTATATACTAGGGAAGAGAGGCTAGGAGAGGCTAAGGGAGGCTAAGGATTGGTCCCTAGTGCCTCTCTCTCTCTCTCTCTCTCTCTCTCTTTCTCTCTCTCTCTCTCTCTCTCTCTCTCTCTCTCTCTCTCTCTCTCTCTCTCTCTCTCTTGTTGGGTGTGAACAGCCACCCAATGCACAACCCTCCATGCTTTTTTCTTGGGTCCTCCTGGACCTTGATGGGTCTCTTGATGCGTGATGAGGCTCACACGTCCCGTGATCTCGTCTTAAGGTGTATGAACCTTTCGGCTTGATTTTTCTCACCCTTTTCTGTTTTTTGTTTTGTTTTTTTGCTTTGCAATGGTTGTTTGCTGGTTGCCCACACCATAGTGCAGCCCATTGTTGAGCCTACGGTACCAAATTGAAGTAAAACAACAAACACTTCCATAGGCAACTTATAGTCACATAATAGGCATTTCTTGCTAAAATTACACAAATGCACCAATAGCTAATGGCCCCTAGGGCTCCTCCTTGGGCCCCCTTGCCCTTAGTTTCTTAGGCTGCTCCTCAGCCTTGCACCCCCTGGTGCAGCCCCGTTATGTCCTTGTGACATTAGGGGAAAGGGCTCCGCCCTTTGGTCCCTCACACCACGGGTGTGGGGCCTTGGCCTCCACGCCCCCCAATGGGGCAGGCGTTCGCCATGTGGCAGGGCTGGCTGCAGCGAAAACAAGTACCCTTGAAGGTCCTCTCCTGGCAAGAGCCTTGCCCGGAGCCTTTGTTGCCGAGTTCGCCGGTGTTGAGGCCACCCCCGCGGGTGGGACGGTTGTAGGTCATGCGAGCATGCTTCGACGCGGCCACGGCCAGCTTGTAAGAACAAGAGGTCAGCACGCTCTTGGAATGGTAGAGCTGGAAGCGATCGGCCGCCTCGAAGCCCGCCTCGTCCGCCTCGAAGCCCGCCTCGTCCGCCACCAAGAGCACCCCAAATCACTGTTAATGAGCGACTCGATTTGATAAATGTTTGTGCGAGCGCCTTCTGCATCGGCTTGCTGGAGCTTAAACTCAATGTGCCTGAGGTGGGCCTGGATAGTAGAGACAACCTCTGCCTGGTCGCGTACGCCTTTGCGGTTGAATGTGTAGTTTGTGGTTGAGGGGGGGAAGCGTAGAGCAAGAAGCATGAGTAGAAATTGGGTTGTGATGGCGAGGGGAGGCCTCACCATCAGCGTCGTCTGACTCGTCGTTGTCGTTTTCGACAGGAGCAGAAGCCAGGTCCTTCTCGATGCGGGCAGTCTTGGGAGGGCGCGGTGCGACGGCGGGAAATTCTTCGATCTTCTTATCATATTTTGCAGAGGTTGTAACATCCTTATTTTTTGAAATCCCCGCCGTAGCAGGCGCGTGCTGCTGTAACAGCGCCAGTAGTGCTTGCAGTTGCGCCGGGTTGAACGGGGGGTTGGGGTCGGTCGTGGCTGGCATGTGGCTCGAGGGTGCTGGCACGTGCTGCTTGACACGCGCGCCTGAGGGGATCGAGGTGGTGGTCAAGCAGGGCTGTCGCTTGCCCTGGCCGAAGAACTTAGCGGGCTGAGGTGGCCTAATTTTAGCCCTTAATTTTCCGGGTTGAGCCCAATTTCAACACTTAGATTCAGGGCTACACATCCTTCTGCACTTGAGCGTAAACACATCGTGAAAGTAGGTTGATGTTGAAATACTAGATTCAGGGATACACATCCTTCTGCACTTGAGCGTAACACATCGTGAAAGTAGGTTGATGTTCAAATACACCTAAGGGCTGCGGTGATAGCAGACACATAACCCGATCTTCACTGCATCACGGGAACCGGTAGGTAAGGTGTTTTACGTAAGCAGGGAATGAATAACAAGGGAACGAGGGGGTGGAGGGGTGGGGATGGGCTCTGAACGTATACGTGAGATCTGGGTTAGGAGCTAGACCAGCCCTTACGGAAAAAGGACTGGTCTCAAAGCCAGCACTTGAATTCTCTGAGTTGGGCTCAAACAAGCACGTGAATTCAAGGGCAAAAATGGTAAGTGCCCTTGTAGCGACAGGCCTGTGGTCAAGACAGCCGCATCAGCGGTTCTCTTTTTTCGCCACTTCGCGCAGCTGCCTGGAAGCCACGCGAGGGGCGGAAGGCTCCTCGGAAGGCGCCGAGGAGCCTTTGCCCAGCAGGACCTCAACGCCAGTGGCGAGGTCCTCGCGTGACTCCTCGGCAGCCCGTTTTGGGTGTTGGGCGGTTGTCCTGGGCAGAATGTTGGCGTTCGGGGCGACGGGAGTGTTGCCTTGTTGCCCTCGCGATTAGCAGTGTTGTTCGCCGGCGCCATGGCTCCGATGTTGTACTTGAATATATCCGCAAGTAGAGTCGTCAGGGCAATGAAGCAAGGGAGGGACTGCGTCTTCGCGAGACTGGACGAAATTGAAAACTCAAACGTCGAAATTGAAAAGAAGAACGTGGGTGAGGCCAAATGGCCTCAACCCCCTATTTTGTAGCCAAAAGAGGGCGAGTAGCGATGCGACGCTGCCTTTGCTGCGTTGGCAATCGCTACACTTTTACAATACACAATTTTTGAAAAGTGTCACACTTTAGAGATTTTACATTTTTACCAGGCAAGTTTGGTATGAAGTTTCAAATATATATGCTGCTTATTGTGTAGGCCGTAGTGGGGTAGCCCATATGGGGTACAACCCAGTTAGGGTTTCCTATTTGTACCCATCTTGCTGCTAGTTCATTCACTCCTGCTCGTACTTCTGACATGGTTTCATAGCAGGTCCTAGCCTAAGACCGCTTTTTTTAGGGCCCACCGAAACAATCTACCCCACGAGTCGCGCCCAGAGCTGCTTAGGCAGGGTGTAGACATCTTTGCTCTTAATTATGATGCTAACCTTTCTGCCATGTATGCATTGACTGTTAGAGCTGAGGGTGACTGTTACCTTTGTATGCCGCCAGACTCAAGTATAGAGGATGCTGCTCTAGGTGCTATTGAGTCTGCTGCTCTAGGTGCTGGTGAGTCTGCTCTCTCTGGTACTGCGTCTGCTGAGGCCTTGCACACCTTCACGCTTGACTCAGGTGCTTCCCGCAGTTTCTTTTGCGACAGTACCATAGTCACACCGCTCTTTGCACCTGTTGCTGTCTCTCTGGCTGGGGGCCCAGTCCTTGCACGTTCCTCCACTATTCTGCCTTGTCCGGCGGTTCCATCTGGCTCACTGTCAGGTCTTTACCTCCTCTCGTTTTCTACGAACTTGGTGAGCAACGCAGTCCTTCAGGATGATTGGGTTGATACCTTCACCCCTGGAGGACAGCGTGTGGTGATCTGTACGTGCTCCTGGACTGGCAAGCACCTAGCCACGTTCACCCGTCGGCCTGAGTCGAGTCTGCACACACTGACTACTGCGCCTCCTCAGGTAGCCGCGTCTGCGTCTGCGTCACGTCAGCTAGCGGCCCCCTGCTCGTGACGCGCCCTGTCGCACCAGACGCTCCTATGGCACCACCGCCTTGGTCACCCCTTTGTGGCATGCCTCTGTGGCATGCACTCCCGTCTCCTTGTCTTTGGTCTTCCCAGGTCTTTGCCTCCCCTCCCACCCTCGCCCCCTCCCTGTCTTCCCTGTGTCGAGGGGCGGCAGTGTACCGCTCCTCACTCCTCCTCGTTCCCCCCGACGACTAAAGCCCTGCAGACTCTCCACTTGGACGTGTAAGGCCCAGCTTGCGTCCGTGGACAGGGCCACGAGCGGTACTTTCTGCTGGTTGTCGACGACTACACGCGTTACACCACGGTCTTCCCCTTGTGCCGCAAGGGGGAGGTCCCTGATGTTTTGATCCCTTGGATATGCGCTGTTTGTCTCCAGCTCTGCGAGCGGTTCGAGACGGACTTTCCCGTCCTGCGTCTGCACTCTGACAGAGGTGGTTGTCGGCGAACCTTCCTCCTCTCAGCCGCCGCTCTCCTTCATGCACCTCCTCTTACCATGCACCTTCTCTTCTTCCTGCACCTGTTCTTCTCATGCCGACTCTCCAGTTTCCTCCTTCTCCCTTTTGCACAGCCTCACTTACCCACGTTGAAAGAGCCTGATCTCTCACCCCGTAGGTTCCCTATTAGTGTCGTACTGTCGTGTGCTAGAGCCTGAGACAATCAGTTTCACTAGTGCAAGGGAATATTAGCGAGAAAGCATCGATGGGTTGGAGGTGAGTGACCTTACCCCACCCCTGGCTGCACATTTCCAAAATGTGCGGCTCGGGGTTGGGGTTCGTTGGTTTCACATTTCGCCTTTCGGATTCTTTCCCCCTTTTTATCTCAACCGCTCCTATCCTGTTTCCCCCCTTCTACACCCTCGCTCCTAACAGTAACTTTACTACATCCTACACCTATTACCTATATTCTTATTCCTATCTCATCTTCCTATGGACTTAGGATGAAACCCACACTCCACCATCATTCTACTGTTATTGCATATGCATTAAGTGCATATGCGGTGACAGCTGTCGGCGAACCTTCCTCCTCTCAGCCGGCGCTCTCCTTCATGCACCTCCTCTTACCATGCACCTGCTCTTCTTCCTGCACCTGTTCTTCTCATGCCGACTCTCGAGTTTCCTCCTTCTCCCTTTTGCACAGCCTCACTTACCCACTGCCCCCTCCTGTGCTCGTGCTCTAGCTGCCTGAGCCCGAGTCACAGGACCTGCTTGGTGAGGCTTGCTCCCCCTCACCATGGCCGTATTGCTCTGGTGCTCCTTCAGGAGTGCCCCTGTGTCATTTTCCAGAACCAACACCCCTGAGGGACGGACCTCCTTCACCCTCCACCTCTCCGTGCCCACCCCAACATCCAACGTGTCTTGCTTTGCCCGCTTCAAGTACACTTCCTGCCCCTGACTCACTCCCTTCCTGGGTCTGTCCCCCGCCCCTTGCTGTTGCCTCTGCTCATATCTCCGAGCATCCCGCAGCTGTGCAGTGTGGAGATTCTCCAATGCTGCTGGCATCATCACTCGTAGGTATCTTGCCCTGGCCTCGGATAGCGCCACCCAATTCTCTATCGTCCCTTCAGTCACAGTGTCTGTAAGGACCCGGGTTGCTCCCACCGGCAGCAGCGGCTCACACCCATATAGGAGACTATAAGGGGAGTGATCTCTCAGCGCTGCCTGCTTCCCAAATCTGTACCCTGCTGCTATCCAATGCAGCTCCTCGTCCCAGTCCCGCTTCCTCTTTTCCCCGTACGCTCGCAGTCCCCGCTTCAAGGTCTGGACCAGTCGCTCAGTCAGCCCATCGCTCTGTGGGTGGTACCGCGAAGTGCCCCTGTGGGTGATCCCGGTCTCCTCCAGCAGCCCCTTAAACTCCCCTTGGAACTCTGTCCCTTGATCTGTTAGGACCTCTGCACATGCCCCGAACCTGCACAACACTTGTTCCTTGAACGCTGCTGCCACGTGTCTGGAGCTCTTGCTCGGGATCGCTCTTACCTCCAGCCACTTGCTCACATGTTCGACCATGAGCACTATGTACTGCTTCCCCCCACGGCTCAGTGGCAGCTCCCCCGCCAGGTCTAAGGACCATCGGAAGCCGAGGCCTCGGATGGGCAGCGACTGCAACTCCGCCTTGGCTTGGGTGAGGTTTGCCCTGCTCCTTTGGCATGCCTCACAGCCCTCCACCCACCCCTTTACTTGCCTCCGCATCCCCTCCCACCACCACCCTATCTTCAACAGCTGCACTGTCCTTTTGTGCCCAAAGTTCCCTAGCTTGTTGTGGACCTCCTTAATCACCGCTCCCCTCTCACTTGGAGCCGGCACCAGTTTCCATCCGTCCTCTGTTTGCACCTGCAACTGCTGCTGGTACCACCGGTAGTGCTGGCCCCTTGCCCTTACTCGTGCCGGTAGCGCTTCATCCTCTCCCGTCTCTCCCTTTACCCATCGCAGGGCCGGCCCGTCCTCCCATATGTCTGCTGGCCCCTTCCCCTCCTTGGCCCCGTTCTGGTCCACCAATCTGGCCAGCAGTGTCAAGGTTACGGTGGGCTCAAGCGGTGGGGGGTTCCGTGAGAGGCCATCTACATGTTGCAGTGTCTTTCCTGGCCTATGCCTGATCTTGAAGTCATACTCCTGTAGCTTCATCGCCCATCTTGCATTCCTGCCCGTCAGTCGTGGGGTTGACATCAGCCACGTCAGGGGCTGGTGGTCAGTTACTAAGGTGAATTCCCTCCCCTGCAGGTACACCCTGAAATGCCCTACTGCCCATACGGCTGCCAACCCTTCTCCGATGTAGGAGCTGTACTGTGCCTCTGCTGAGTTGCAGCTCCTGCTCGCATATGCCACTACCTTCTCCTCTCTTTCTACCTCCTGGCAGAGGATCCCTCCCATCCCTTGGCTGCTCCAATCGGTGTAGAGCGTGAACGGCTGATCAGCGGCGGGCAGCTTGAGCACCGTCGCGGTCTTCACTGCTGCCATCAGGTCCTGCAGCGCCCCTTTCTGTGCTTCCCCCCACTCCCACGC